CCCGCTGCCCTGGACGGACACGCACACTATTACACACCAGGCCCCCTTCCCTGCTGCCCTGCACACACACACACACATGCACACACACACTCACTCAACATCCCACCCTTGCACACAGACCCTCCCTCTGCCCTGCGCGTGCACACACACACACACACACACCCTTCCATACAGCCCCCCCAACTGCCTTGCACACACACACACTACACGGCTCTCTCCCACACTTACATACCAGAGCCCCTTCCCTGCTGCCCTGGACACGCGCACACACACGTTCACTCAACCCCTCAGCCTTACATACAGACCCCCTCCTGCCTTGCACACACACAGACACACTCAACCCCCCTTGCACACAGCCCCCCCCCGTTGCCTTGCACCCCCCCAGGTGCTGCTCAGGGGGGACGGGGGGCAGGAGCCGGCGCGGGGCAGGGATCTCGGCTCCAAGGTGTGGGTGAGCAGCCCCGAGCCCTGCCCAGCCCGGCGCAGAGAGCAGCCCCCCCGGGCCCGGGATACTGTACCTTTCTCCAAGGGACGCCCCCACCCCTGCGCATCAGGAGGCAGCGCCCCGGAGCCCCCCGGTGCTGCCGGCTCCAGCCGCCCCGAGCAGGGTCCGGGTGTCCTTCCAAGCCCCCCTACCTGCCTGTGCTGCGAGGGGCGTCGGGGCTGCCCGGCCTGGGGGGGCAGCTACAAGTGAAGGCATTTGCTGGGACTTGGCCATGGAGCTCCCCCTGACCTGCGCCTCTCTAGCTAACCCCTAGCAAGGAGCCCCAGAGCCGGATCCATGCAGCAGCTCAGCTCCTCTCCTGGAAGAGGCAGAATAATTGTGGAGAAGAAACCCCTCCCTCCCCCCGCTTCCTCTTCCATCCTCTGTGACAATTTAACCCCCACTTTCAGCAAACTGAGGGGCTGAAACTGAGTGGGCAGAAAGGATAATATTTCCTGCATCTGATGTGAATGCTGTTATGAAACAGCATCGTTTTAAGGACATGCCAGCCAATCCTTTCCTAAGACAACACAGATATTTATGTAGCTCATTCTTCCTGGTTAAGAGAAATTCTTCTTCTGCCTAGGTAACAGCTGCAGTATGATGGGGGGGGGGCAGCAAACCAACCCTTGAATGTTATGCACTTGTGCAAAACAGATTCTGCTCATTAACAACTCCCATTTACTTTGCATTTCACAATATAATTTAAAGTGGCAATGAATACTCCAAACAAGGTGACACATTTTGGAAGGCAGAGGCGGCCATTCACCGGATGAAATCTTCCCAGGCGAGTCGAACTGTTTGTCCTTTGCTAGAAATGCCAGCATAATTCAGTCAGGGGGAGAGAAAAAAAAGAGTTTATATATTGCACAGGGATGGGTGTTGAGCAGCAGTTCTGGGCATTACTATCAGGGAAGGCAAGCAGCAACTCCTTCCTTTAGAGAAATGAACTCAAATATGCTCTGAAGGCTGCTTGCCTCTAATTGAAATAATTGTAGGATGTTATGTTGCATTATGCGGATCGACTGATACCTGAAAACAAATGCAGCTGAGACATCCAGAATTTGCATATCACAACAGAACTGAAAATGATCGGTGATTAATATTCAACCAATTAAACGCTGGAGTCTTTAAAATGTAAACTCCTTTAATTATTGAACCATTAACCAAGTGCTATTCTCATAAAAGGGAATCCATGTATATAAAAGGCCCATTTCGTAAGCATTTGGACATGGTTTAGGCTGAATTTCCCTCTCTTTACCTACATAAATTTACAAAATGGCAACACAGGACTGTCATCAATGCAGTGGGTAATACCATGGAAGGATATCCCTTTTGTTATTATTTTTAAACAAGCTATATACATGCAAGTATAAAGATCAAGGTACTGGGTTTGTCTTTGCCTGTTACTTTTAGACCCAATATTAGACTTGTCATTTGCTCATTTAATACGTGAACTTGTGTTAGATGACATCGAAGGCACGGCACTACCCTTACCACCATTCAGTAACTGCTTAAAGAACTTGACCAGGACTTCACACCTGTAACACAACAGATGAGCAAGCTGGAAACCCAACCAAAGAACATTAAAACAGCAAAAAACTTCACCCTAGCTAAGTTATTCTTGTAGCTCCTATTATAAATGTAACCAGTAGCAATTTATGTTATTGCAAAACTTTGTTCGAAATGAAGCACTGTGAAATGCAAACTTGCTAGACAGGATTTCAGCAGAAAGATAGAAAATAGGGACCTCAAGGGGGTCGCATCTAGTCCAACCCCCTGCTCAAAGCACATCATCCCAGTCAAGGCTTTGTCATTAAAAACCTCCAAGGATGGAGAGTCCACAACCTCTCTGGGTAGCCTGTTCCAGTGCTTAGATTGCGGCTTTTTTAAATGCAGAGCGGTAAAAATCAAACAGTCCCTAAAACCTTGTTTAAGTCATTTCTAAGCTATTGCTTACAACACTATATAATGTCAAGATCTGTTGGGAATTATTCTGACTTGTAAATATATCTGGAATGATGCCTTTCAGTATTAAAATGTAAGACAGCAGATCAAATTTAAAAAAGTAAAATCCTAAGTATGGATTCAATGTCAAGCGCTGAAGCAGAGCTTTAAGAAATACTTAGCATAACAGGGTTACATCTTGGAATTGGCGGGGCATATTTTTCCCCTCAAGGTTTCTGCAGGATTCCCACGGGCATTTATGGAAATTCTTCAGATAAACTGATGGTAGAAGACAGCAGAAACAGAAAGAGCAACTTGGGTTATTTGGTCTGATTCTCTGCAGTTTACAAGATCACTTCAGGCCACAAATCACTGTCATCATTGCCATATCTAACCTACCTCTCCCGTTAATTTTCTCCCTCCGCTTTGTGTAAGAAATGTTTCCCCAAAAAACTGAGTTACCTATTTTTAAGATTATCATTCAAGGCCATTTTGACCAGGAAAAAGAAAAAAAAAAAAAAGCTCCAGAAAAAAGACAGGTATATGATTAAAAGTAGAAATGTGATATACGCTATTTGGTAGTGCACACCGGGTGTCAGTCATTATTATGGCAATTAGCATATCAATAGATGTCATTACTGCATCCAACTAGTAGGTGATTGGAATACAAGGCGATTCATTGGTCTTGGCTGCTAAAATTTGTTGAAAGAGCTCAGCAGAAATCGGTTATGCACATTTCATTTCGGTCACTGCCCTACCTGCGGGAATAGCTTGCTTCTAAACATAGGGACCCACCATGATCTGCACGCTGTATTTGCACAGAGGTGGGAACATAGGGAATTGAAGAATAAGACAAAAACATTATCTTACGATCGTTCAAAGTTGTCTAAGAGAAAAAGCATTTCTGGGACCAATTCCTCTAAACACAGAGGCCAACAGAGACAATATAGCCAACATTCAAGGCAAGATCATGGCTCAGACCACGGTGGACCTTATTTTCCACATGTGGGACTATCAGTCCTGCTTGAGAGAAAAATGGAATAAAGAGGAATGTGATTTGAGCACTTTGAGTTGCATTTTCCTTGAGGGTTTCCTACTTAATTTTTAAGGAAAGTGTACAATGGACTCCAGTGTGTTTGGATGAGGCCCAACTGCAGCAGGTGTGTTTCAATGGTCATTTCTCTCTGGACAAAGAGAGGCAAAGCTAATGGCAGACCTCAGGTGCATTTACTTATGACATGCATGGACAGGATGGAAGTCTTTCTGTGTGTGTGTGGCGTGACAGTTTTGGAAATACACTGGGTACAGGCAGTCCTCGACTTGCAAAGTTTCGACTTACAATGTTTCACACTTACAACATTTATGAATTGGCACCCTGTTTCAACTTTCTGACACTGGTTTCAACTTTACAATGCTTGATCTGATGCGATGTCCCACCAGCGAACAAGTTCACTGCATCGCCCATGTCCCTGGAGAACATCTGTCCAAACTTGCTTGGACACTTTCTTTAAGAAAGCAGACAGGACTCCAGAAAAACCTGCAGCCAAGACTCCTGAGAAGATCCAGCCAAGAACCTTTCAAAAAGTCCAGCAAAGTCACCTCAAAGAAGTGCTTCCAAATCAATATGATTGCTATTTACAATATAAATGCATTAATGTAGCTATGTTCTTCATCTATAATTGATTGAGTATAAAATTCTGGATTATTTTTGGTGAAAATAGGGTGTCAGGCCTTGGTTCAGGAACCAATCCCCCATTTAAAACATTGTTTCTATGGGAGAAACGGTTCCAAGTGACAACATTTCAACTTAAGACACAATTTTCAGGAACCAGTTGTGTCGTAAGTCCAAGGACAAACTGTATTCCAGACTGGCTAACAAAAAAGGGGATAAGGCCCAGGAGCTCCATCAACTCTGGGGCTTATTTGTTGGCTCAGACCCTCCCAATGTCCTTGAAATGAGAATGCAAAGATAAAGATGATGGTGGCCACCCTCCACAAGGGGTAGGGAGCCCTTGTGGCCCCGATCCTCACATTTACACACCATCAATCACTGACAACTGTTATTTGGCCCTCCGGGTAAAAGGACAGCATCAGGGCATGGAAGGCTTTGGTGGGCTAGGATGGTGAGAACAATAGCAGTGGGAATGGGAATGGCAGGGAAGTGTTTGGAGACGCGTTTGCTCTGTTGTTTCTGGAATCTGTACTGGCTGTAATAAAAATGATCATTTTGCTCCAAAGCCTGTGGAAGTCAATGGGACCTTTTGCTCAGGGCCAATGTCACCAGTGCTTATTTCAGCACTGCCCATTTGTACCAGAAGCAAGGTGTATTCTCTTTCCCAAAGCACCTTAGAGAAGATCATGGGAGGAAGCTATTTAATTTGAACACTAAGGAGCTGGTTAGTAATATCTTGAAAAGAAAAGTGCAGGTTGATAGGGGCTGTGCCTGCTTCTGGAGTTTCCATGGTAAAACAATTTATGTTTAACAAGTCGACAACATCTTTCTGCTACCGGAGAAAGCGGTAACAATTGCAACCTTCAGCAAACAGCACCTGACATAGCAAAAGACAACAATGATGGTACAGCATCGCTTTGTAACCATTCTCCAGCTGACAGGACGCATCCTTTTTAAAAGAAGTAGGAATGGGTAGCTCCACCCCTTGGCCCGGCCTTCCATGTATTTAGCCAAACTGTCTGTCAAAGGAAAGCAAGCAAGCGTACGCACTCATCCTTGAAAAGAACTTAATTCTGAAAAAAAGGCTGTATGCACTGGAGTTAGTCTCTGCATGCGCACCCTTTTAAAGGCACAATGTGATAGGAAACACTGTGAGTTTGTAATACACCGAAGACAGAACCACTGTGACTGAGTACTGTGCTAAATAAAGTGGAAGAAATGCTGTCAAATATATGTCTCTGCATGGCTCCGTATTATTTCCAGCTAGCTTACTCCAGTTTATCCAGGAACCCTCTTCATGTTGCAACAAGTAACCTATTACCTGCTACAGGAAAGCTGAGAAAATGCTTCAGCCCGCATATTCTCTAAACCCTGGGCAATGATTTCTTATGTCATCCATCATTCACAAGTCATTGCTTTAGAAGTTTGCTAAAGTGGATATGCTGTGATGGATAAGAGTTTTGTCTAATTAGCCATGGCAACTCAGCCTGGGACAGGGGTCTCGAGTCCTTTACAGGGCTCTTGCCAAGCCATATAGTTAGGGGCAGGTATTTAATGTCACTAATTTGCAAGATG